GATAGGGGCTTTCCCGGGCCATCTCATTACACTCGGCTATCTCTCCTCACACTTCACCAAACCCGCAGCTATCCTATCGATCTGAATGAAAGCACAACTTCGATGGAATGACAATGAGAAAGGATCCCGACGTCTTTTGAGGTAGCAGTTGTCGATCGTTCGCCATTTGCAGACACCCTCGGTAACTGAGGCGGTCCTCATCAAACACGCTTGTGAACAAGAAGGACCCACACAGCCTGTGGTCCCACAACTCCAGAAAATATCATCAATCCCACTAGATTGTTGATGGAGACCGATGGAGACTTGATTATCCGCGATGCCACCTCGACCACCATCGAGGCTGAGGAGAGTGGAATTCTCTCATTGGGCAATGATATGACCGTCTCGGCCTAGTCGATCTCACCCGATGCTGAAGTGCCGACGAAATGCACGTCGCGGTTGAGATTTGGATGTTGCTTGAAGAACTCGTTGACGAAGTCAATCCTGCACGAGCAGATGGACTCTACCGGATTGCCGTCGCCAAGCAGCTCACAAGTCCTGAATTAAGTTCTCCCATCCACTCTCCACAGGTCCTATGCTGAACCCCGTAGGTACCGGTGCATCAACCCAGATACCATTAACTCGCCTCGTCCAGGAAAACCTAAGATTGTACAACTTTCGATTTCGCCGGCCCGTTGGCAACGGGCAATTCCCATGAACTCACTCGTTCTTGATCAGCCTCTTGGTAACGAGATCCATGATGCATGGACCGTTCACCTGCAGCGCAGACCCTATGCTGCTTTCACCAGGTCCACCTCGGATGAATAAGAAAGTCGGTGCCGTCGTGGGGTTCCCATCGGCCTGTATGGAAGTGTAGAATAACCTGTGACAGGAACAGCAAGTCAGTACAACAGCTTGGCTGTAACAGCCACTCGTGAGATCAAAGCCACCAACCTGTGGAGTTGACTGACTTCGATGTATCCATATTCCTGTTTACCAGTGCCACTGGGACACAGGACTGCACCAGTCTTAGATTGTCTGCGTGGGGGGCTTGAGGCACTTTTCGCAGCAACCAAGACCATGACGAGTGATAGGATGAGAATCATAATCAATACCTCTAAGCTACAGTTGAGCATGGAAAACAACATTGTGATTAGAGGGTTATTGCTCATATTCACATGTCGAACTTTATTATTAGGATTTTTCGGATCAATTTTTGTGAGTAGCCAGCGACTCGTGGAAGGACACCAGCAAGGGAACCTGAAAATCGAAGCTGAATACTCTCAACTAGCAGTTGAGTGAGCTCCATTCAGTGAGGATGAGAGCTCAGAACGAGGTTTATTGTAATACACGTATTGTATGCAAAACATCTCCTCTCTTCTTGCTCACCTTCTTGCATGAAATTAGGCATGCTCCGGTCGGGGCACAGAATGCCGGCAATCCATGTCGCTCTTCGGATTGAGGCAGTCGTAATGCATTCTAATGACCCCCAGGTAGTAGGGTTTTGCAATCACGCTATCCTCTTAGAGCCACCGCGATGACCAATCTTATCGCAGAGGACTCAGACGCCGCGCGGTCCGCGGACCCCGCACACTGTGCGGCCTCGCACAGTCTGCGGTCCAGGCACACTGTGCGGCGTCGCACAGTCTGCGGACCCCGCACACTCTGAGGAACACAGACGGGCAACATACCGAAGGCATCCCACACGTTGCAGTGGGCTCGTCATGTTAAGCCAAGAAACGTCGCCTGTCTAGATCGATAGCTTATAAGTATCAACATGATCCTGTTGCAAACAGACCTAAGCTTTGACAGGGATCCTCTCCACATTTCATGTTGTGCTGAGCACCCTGTCGCTATGAAAATAATCGTTCCCAAAAACGTGAATGGTCTTCATCTTGGCATGCTTGCCGGTATGCTGGGAAAAGCAGAATACAGGGGTACCCAGTACTGAACCACTCATTCTTGAGCTCAACAATACCTAATTGTAGTGAGTCAACAAGCTCTTCCAAGTTGAAATTATTAATCGCACCTGTATCAAAAATGAGTTCGAGGTTAATCGTTGAGCTTGCGTGCTCAGCTTTCCCCGGGAAAGCTTCCCGGTACCTGTTGACACATGAGTGTCGATGAGTGGCCCGGGGCCACTGGCCCCTGTAGATAACACAAGTCTTCAAATGCGCCATCTTAGTTGGGTGTAGGTCTAGTAGATCGTTATTGATATAGTGAAGACATCTGAATCATCGTAGGGGAAGATCTAGAGCCGCATACGTGTTATCATAAGTGGTACGTGTGCACCAAAGTATTGTAAGTATCGCAGGTTCTCAAATTATGGCAACAGGTTGCAGCACTCCCGGCCGGACAAGGGATAACAAGTCACGAAGGCGAACCTTCGTCAAAATCTTATTTGGAGGTATCCCTCTTCTAATTCAGAGGATAAGAGTTGCAATTCCAGAAGCTTGTTCGCGTAAAGAACTCAAAAGCGCAACAAACAGTAGCTATGGTCCCTCTTGAAACCCTCCACCGAGTCTGCTCTGCTGACCGATAAGTTAGACTGCTTGGTAGGTCAGATTTTACATCCATCATTTTTTGAGAGCTTAGCGGAGGGTTGCGGCAGTGAAATCACTTCAGTAACGGGAGACTACGCAAAACTGGAACGCATCACGCAGAGCACTGGTGCGTTTTAACGTACTCTGCGGAGACGTATATCCGACTACGTTGCATAGTCTACTTATTGATTCGGCACAATGGGACGTGATGCAAGGAAGAGACATGTATAATCCCGGCGGGACTTGAACCAGCAACCTTCGACTCCGGAAACCGACGCGCTTCTATTGCGCCACGATAACCGATGTCTCTCACGATAGCGATCCATTCTCCGATAACTAAAGGTATAAACGCATGCCACCGTTGAGAACCTACAGGGTGGCTTACTTTGATGGGAGACTCCCATCGAGCAGTTCTCAATTTGAATGGACATGATATAATGTATGGACGAAGAGGAAGTCAGACAGGGACATAGAGAGCTCAGGTTCACCACGTCAGTGGTTCATTCTGTCTAGAAGAAAGTCTGGGGCTTGTCGCTCCAAATCGGTACTCAGTCCGCAGTTACTCGATCAAGTGCAGAGAAGACATGGGCAGGTACGAATGAGGTTTGAACTCGGCGAATTCAATTCGCACATGACGCTCGCACGTCGGCACTCGAGCACGACGTGCTCGCGGAGCATGCCGAGCACTAAATCGTACTCGATAAATGCCACGAGCGCATATCGAAACTACGATCATTACAGGTTCAGAAATTGTTGTGGTTCACAACTTGTGGACTTTCAATGCAAAATTTACATTGCAAATAGAGGAAAGAAAGCATCATACAAGATGTGTACCAAGAAGGCATAACGCAAATTGGGTTACTCAATTACACCTCAGGTTTAACTTAGAAAAAGTTGACCCTCCCTCAACGGATACTCTGGCGTCTTTTTAGGATATTGCATCATGCAACGACGAATCAAAGACTTCCCGAATGTCAGTGCTAATCAAGGATAAGCACCATTCAGAATGATCGCTCGTGGGCAGTATTCTGAGGCTCGTTGTGCTGGCCACCTAATTGTACTTGCATGCGACCCTGATGGGCACGCGTGCTTTTGCTCGGGCCGAGCTATGGCCATCCCTATTATTATTAGATAGATATGTAGATCCGATAGCTAAGCTATTCAAGTTAGTCTTTTCTTGAGACTTCAATGGCAATGAGTTCAGTCCATGGCGGCATACCCACAAGATCGAATAGCAGCACGGAGTTCTACTGTTAGA